AAAATGAATTTTCTTTACGGCTTCATAGAGACCAAAAGATGATCTAATGCTGAGGCAGATCATGCATTGTCGATGTGGAATCTAGGCTTCTAGGCAGGGCTTTGAAGTAGCTAATTGACATAGATCTAAAGCTAAACAATAGTACCAAGTTGTCCTTGCACCTTCCACACCACTTGTCGCAACAAAGTTAGCGATGTAAGGAAAAGCAGCAGACATTAAAGCTCCTTGTAACTGGGAAGACGTTTGACCACAACTTCGAAAACCTCCCTTATCATTTTCATAAAATCCGAATATTTCACCCTGTTTGGAAATTTTGTTTACAGAGAGCAAGGCTCTGGCCGCCCAACCCATCCATTTTAAGTGACAGAAACTCCAAACCAAATGCAGAGTTGATTCGGTTAGTATTGCTTGGAGGGGATGGATTTTGCCTCTGTTATGTCCTCCCACTCTGTTCCCACACCAGACTTGCTCATTCATTTCTAATTCTTAGTCATCTGGCAAAATTCGGATGAAACATTGTGGTATCATACAGTTGGTCTCAGAAGTTTTATAATGTAGACTTCTGATCCTTACAACGCAGTAAAATGAGCCCAAGTACGCAAGAAGACAAAGCATTCAAACAAAATCTACAGAGTGAACCCACAATAGGGCTTAAGGTTACTGTCACAACTTGAAGGACCGACCTCCTGGAGAAGTTTTTACTTGGGTTCTTTATGCAAGCTGATAAGTAACTAAATAACTGAGGTATAGCAAGTCCTTGCGCACATTGTAGATAAGACTGCTTTCATTTTAAACTAAGTGGGTTCTCAATTACTGACTTCTGTAAAAGAAGCCTAGTTTTTTCTAATCAAACTACTTTAATCTAGGCGAAACTTCAAGGTGCCCTTAGATTTCAATTTGACTGAATTGTAAAAGGATCGACATTAAAGAATTACTTTCTGCCAGTAATCCTTCACACACTCACTTAAAAATACAACGCAGAATTTATTATGTAAGATCAAATATGAATATTTACAAGCACACGAATTACGTGTAAAATAACGCAGCCCATCATACGACCTCATCTTTTACTACGGTGAACAATATCAACAGTCGCATTCTTATGAAATTAATTTCTTACGATCTTCCAACCATCCCATTAAAATGCTTTACCACGCTTTAATGGTTTTAGACGACACAACGACAAGCAGCAGTGCAGGTCAGTTCGGGGTCTATCATTGCCATTCCATTGAAGCAGATGGATTGAGTTACAAATCCTCAACAGAATCCTATCTTTGGTCTAAGCAAGCAGGCAGTCGTTCGGATTGGCGAGCTGACTTCATGTGTACTCAGCTAAATAGCACGCTTATTTGCATAGTTACCCGTTTACACGGCACGCAAATTTGAAATCAGATAACATTGAAATTTGACTGCCTAGATAAACAATGAGGAACCCCACCCCATTCCACTACCGCAGTCGCGTAGTTATACAACAGGCGAACTCGTTAGCCAGCTCGCACACGAAAAAACGTAGTATAATCTCATCTCAGCAGCGCCCACACACATGAGAGGGGGCGACAGCACACACTCAGTAAAAGCCTGGCCACAATTCAAGAGCAAAACTGCGCACTATTGGCAGTGAGTACGTGTAGCGTGTATCTCCCTACCTACCCCTCTCGTCTCCTGCAGTCCCCACCCTACTCTCTCTGTCCCAGTGCTCTAGCTGCATTGTCACACAAACACAATAGCTGCTGTTGCTCGCAGAGTTGCACACATTGGGTAGCAAGAGACAGAGAGAGGCGCATTGAGAACCATAATGGACCGTCGAATGCTGACAGATTCTAAGCTAAGAGAGTGAGATGGTGGTGGCAGCAGCGCGTCCGTAACTGCGCTTGCTTTATGCGTGCAAATTTTGAGGGATTACCCCACACTGAAGGGTTGCGAGCCCAAAAAAACCGCACTATAAATCATCGCAAAGTCGGAGTGAACACGCCATTAATAGCAAATATATTAAGAATTGACTTCAAATCATTACGAGAAGTGCGGTGAAGATGAACTTACTTTGCTAAAAAGGGGCAGTTTAATAAAAACTGCTGATGTTTAAGCGAAAAGAAGCGAAAAGTTTAATAATCGTCATTAGATGCATCACTTTGCCGAAATGTAACTCAGTCCTCAAGCACCACATTCATATCTATGCAAAAATGGTTTTGGCCGAAAGTATTGGTATGGAGATTATACATGTCAAGAATGTACTGAGTTAAATAGACTAGAGCTTAACTTCCCAAATCAACTTTATAGGCCCATTACTCTCTACATAGGGCAGGTGGTACAAGTGGCTATAACTAGGGAAGATCATATTTGTTTCGTGGTTGCAATATCAGCTTTGAAAGTAACCAGTCAAGGTATCCACAGATTTAAAAAATTTTGATTTAATTTGTAATGACATGGTTGAGACCTCTTCCTCAGTCTCCGTTTAATTGCTAACTCATTACTTAGGTGACTACAAACCCAACGACTTACAGGTACAAACGGATGTGGAGTTTTGAGATTCTGACTTTGCTTCTCTCGCCTCCTCTTCCCGCCTGGGATGATGATGCTAATCATCCCTATTGCATCATCCTCGCGTTTTGTTCTACTGAGGTAAACACAAGAAGAGGAACAGAGTTGTGACTCACTGCTCCGCATTGCGTAAATGACCTTGAGCTCAATTCAAGACACAAATGCAAGAAGACCGCGACAGGTAATTGCCCTACCCCTTCCGTCTTTACAAGATGAGAAGAGGTAGTGATTGATCTCCCGGTCCTTCACATGGCTCGAAAAGTCAGACAGAGACGCCTAGGTTACTATTGCTGCTTAAGCCCATCTGAGTGATCGACGCGTCTAACCTAAAGAAAAGCCCTAATCACGTGAAAAAATGGTTTTATAGCACGAAATTCACCCTTTCAGTGAGTTGCCTATCAAATAGCCGCATTTTAACCGAAGCTATAGGGGTAAACTTTATTTAGAAATTTGAGGAAAGCAATTGCTTCTTGTTAATACTCTGCACATACCTCCGCTAATTTTTACCTAATCTACACTTGGTTTATAAACTTTGCGGATAATCGAACGCCTCCGTGTCGAACGCTGTTTTGCTCAATCTCCTTTTCATTATAAAGATGTCAGAAGGAATGGAAAAAGCAATTCGATAAGCCTTAGGTGCCAGCACCATCAATTTGGACATCTAGCTCCGTTTTGGGGTTTTTAAAGTTTAGTTGTATACGATTAATCTTCAATTTGTAAATTACCATTTAAAACCTGATACCCATTTACCATGTTAGTCACATAAGTCTGTCCACAGTTTCATGAAATGAAACGGCTGAACTAAAGGCATAACAAGGCCTTTAAGGGCATTTTAATCCGTCCAGTAATGTCCTGTCTCGAACATGTCCTTCCTATTGCCTTAGAGCAAATACTAGAGACCAAAGCATAATCGTCAATAAACTAAAAGACACTTAAAAGATTTCCCACCCCTATGGAGAACACTAGACGTATTCAAAAATAATGACGACTTTCTCCATTTTCACAATTTTTTCCATCTAAATAAAAAAATTCATACCTGCCGGATTTAACCATGACTAAAATTCAAAATTAGTCGGAAAATGAGCGCAAGATAGTTGCTTAACAAAGTCAATATGTGAATTTCGTAACAATAAACACAGTACTTAGTCTCATGATTTAAAATGCACAGAAACAAGTGTTTGTATCATGATAGGATGTCATTTTTATGTTTGAACACGATGACTTTTAAAAGATACCACTTTAATGCCCTGAATTCCAATGTCTTAAGGATTCGTGATTAGGGTGACATTCATTGGTATGAATCCTTGTCCTGGCCTCAGTTCCATCACAAGTGCATGATGCACTAAAAATTGGTTGTTGATCCTTTAATTGACAAAAGCCTAGAGTCTCGGCGTGACCTCAGGACATGTATGACTAATACATTGTTTCATAAAATGGAAGGGGGGAGTAGGCTGGTCACTGATGTTTGCTTATGCACGTGTTTGCATTTTCAGGACATTATTAAGCTAGTCCAACTTGTGAATACCAGTATCTATCTAGACGGCGGGCCGCATGGAGGTGTAGAGAGGTCGGAGGCCATATTCGTGTCATCTATTAATCCGTGACCAATCTCAGCAGGGCCGGTCGATCCATGCAGTTGCTTGATAGCTGGGAACTACAATCTACTCAGTGTTCATTTTGATGCGCGGTCAAAACGCACATTTATGTTC